TTTTAGCATTATCATCGGTCTTATATGTTATGGTCCACGAAGGTCTAGAAACACCCATTGCTGTGCCACACAGCCAAATGTTCAAAAATGCATAAGGGTTAGTTTTTGTGTAATTAAAAATAAATAAATTTTATTTATATAATAATGATAATAATTATTCAATTGAATTGGAAAATACGCGATGGAGTGAATCATAAAAAAAAAATTTTTTTTTAACGCGTACGTAATCTGTTAATAATTTAATATTAATATGTAATTTTACCATAAAAGGTATTCATTCGTTTGGAATGACTTTGCCGTAAAACCAATTTATTTAAAAAAAACGTGGAATTTTTTTTTTATAACAAATTTCCTCGTGAACATAAAAAATAAAACATCAAAATTAGAGAGAAGAGACATACACACACAGTGTTGTCAAAATTGCCAGTCCAATCAGCGCAGTAAAAAAAGTGGCTTGTACATTGGACCAGTCCAATTGGACTGGGACTAGAGACTTTATTTGGACTTTGTCATACAAAGATAAAAAATTTCTCGCAATAATTTTATCACTGTAAAGAATGTAAACAATCACACACAACTTATTACTCTTTCAATGCCTCAAGGAAGTAACCAATATAAAAAAAATAAAAAAGATTTGGTATGAATTTCAGTGTATTTATTTATTAAAAAAGAATAAGATAAAAATAATAACTTTATTTAAATATCATTAATACAAATAGAAAGTCCAACTGTAAATCATATCTTTCTCATTCTATATATAAAAGATGATGATGTGAAAATTTTGATTTTTATTTGTCATTGTTGATTTAAATTCTGAAATATGATTGGCTACCCCTTTAGAATTGGTCCAGAGTCCAATAAGTCCAATTCCCAACACTGCAAAAACGTCCTTATTAACCAAATTATATGTGCATAGTTTCATATTTCTAACCTTTTTATTTTATTAAACTGATGGATGGCTAAAAAAATAAAATTCTGACCAAAAATTTGATTGCATATAATAACTAGATCTGAAGTTTTGACATGCGATTCTAAAGCTCCGCATGAACCTGCTCGAGCCAAGCCAAGCTTATAAACAACTGCCTCAGCTCAGGCTCGGTTTGGCCTGTTGGCTCGCAAGCTCGATTAATACGATCAATATTATAAACGTGTTTCATTTGGAATAGTAATTAATTTTTGATTTCTAACATTATATGTGTATTCTTTTTTCTTTAAAAATGTATAATGACAATAATAAACAATAATAATTATGATGATAGTCATAATAAGGCGATTGAATTGCTTGAATATGATAATGAGTACAAATATAATGGACATAAATATAATAATGAATATCAGAATGAACACA